AAACTAAATCAAAGTGCATACGGTCAATTTTATTATTTATTTTTCCGCATCGTTTAGACTCAAAACATTATGAATGTTGTATTATTATATTGTGCAGTTATCGTGCAGCCGGAAAACGCTTCCTGGCACAACCTGCGCCGACATGTCCTCACACCCAATCTCCCGACCACCAACACCAACACTCCTCGACCAACCACTCTTCAAGTCGAACAAACAAAACCCCCCACGAACCAGCTTCAGGATTTTCCGGCCGTCCTTCACGTAAACCACCGGCGGCAGCCGCATCTCGAAGTTTCTACGGTCCTTCGCGGACAAAAGCCTCACCCAAGAATCACTCACTCCGTACTCCATCATCACCCACACCTCAAATTGCGAGGAAAAGCTGTAGTCTATGTTGTTGTACCGACTCAGGACCAAAGACCCACCAAACACGTCTAAGTACCAATTGCCGGCCGGAGCTCCCCTGCGGTGGTTGCCGGCCGGAGGCTCCCCCACCTGCCGGAAGCTATCGGTTAGGAGATCGAAGGCGAAGATCCCGCCGGGGCCCTGCGAGATCCAGTGAAGGGCTCCGTTGAGGAAAACGCCAGGGCCCTCCAGGCGGGAGGACGGCGGCGGGGGGCTGCCGAGGATCCGCCACGAGTTGGATCTCAGGCTGTAGATGTGGATCCGGCAGACGGGATCCGCCTGTAAATGGGGAGGGGGAGCCGATCTATGACCACCGCCCTGTAATCGGCGGCGGCGGAGTGGTACCCGAGACCGGACGCGGCGACGTCGGCGGTGTAACCGCCGCGGGGGAGCTCGAGGCGCTCGCCGGTGGTGGGGTTCCAGATAGACCAAAATTTATCGGCGAGGAGGAGCAGGCCGTCGCAATTGGCCGCGGGTAGGTGCGGCGGGGAGGGGAATCCGGGGAGGCGGAGGGCGGCGGCGGAGACCCTGTGGGGGGCGTCGGCGAGATCTAGGGAGTAGAGGGGGGCGAATGGGGCGCCGGAGTGATTCGGACGAGGAGGGTGTCGCCGGACGGGAGGCGCCTGTCGGTGTGGGACCTGGCGAAGCTCGGGTCGTCGATGGCGGCGAGCCAAGACCGGCAGACGGCGCGGAGGCGGACCAGGGACCTCGCCGGCAGCCGGAGGAGTATTTCGCGGTGGACGTCCGCCGGGAGGTGTGGCGGCGTTTTGCTAGATTCGTTGTGTTTTGCACGCTTCATCATAGCCGAGGCTTTGCATATGAGTTTATGAGAGGAATTTTTCACCATTTATACAGAGTCCATTCAAGATAAACCCAAGGAAATAAAAATCCTGCAGCTACAAGGATTTTTAATTTTATAATAAAGTTAATTTTATACAGAGTCCATTCAAAGTTAAATTCTGGTACCAATTTTTCATTTTTTCTCATCGAATGTTATTTTCATATTTTACACTCATTTTTAATTCTCAAATTTAAGATATCAATTTACTTTACTCTTTGACATAATTATTTTTGTGTTTCAGACTTTCAGTTCGCAATTTAAGGCATCAATTTACTTTACTTTTTCACATAATTACGAAGAACACAAATATTATATTTTTATAATTTATATTTTTTACATACTTATCATAATAAAATACTTAATATTGTTAGTAAATGTAGTCTAATGGGGTTATATTCCTATAAATATTTTAGTAAAATCATTTTAAAAGTTTGAAATTTTGTAAAGTTGAAATTTGAAAATATATCACTTAAATATGATTGATCATCAAACATGTAATAAAATGTGAAAATTATAAATTCAATTGAAATATAAGTTACAAAAATAATACTGAAACCTTATTGAGAACTAAAATATAAAGATAGGTCTTAAGTTAAGAGTAGCTTAAAATTGTAACCTTGAATTAAGAATTTTAAAAATTAAGACCATAATTTGACAAAATTACATAAATTTGGGTGTTGTGATAGAATTTTCCCTAAATATAAGTGTAATCTTCTACATATCTTAGTTTGCAATATGAATATCAAATTGAATATGGTCGAAAGATAATATCTTATATACACTATAACAAAGATTGCTAAAAGATGATTAATTTTATGTAACATAAGTGAAAGATTAATAACAAATAAAAGAATTATTAATTTAAATTGGTCACATATTTTACAACGACAAAAGTCCTAAACATGTGTAGAGTCAAAGATATACATGCATAATTCAAAATATCATAAATTGAGTAAAGTGTTTTCCAGTATACAGCGCAGCTAAGCAGCTTCTTGCCTGAGGATGCAGATTTATCGAGACTTGAGAGTGTTTTCATAATAATATACTTGAAATAAGTTTTTCTTTACAGAGCGTTTTTTGCACCAACATTGTGGTCATTGAACTAATCTTAGTTTTGTCCAGGATAAAATTTTGGGTAAAGCAGGGGATAAACATTTTCACATCTTACCACTAAGAAATTTCTCAACTTAAATACATCATGGAGTAATAAAAGACAAACTCCATGTCTTTCTCAGAGTTACAAATACCCATTAATATGTTTTAACCTGTTTGATATCAATAGTTAGCTAACAATATAGCTAGAGCTGCGTACTAACCAAGCCGAGCCAAGTGGAGTTCGAGCTCCAGCTCGAGTCTTTATCGAAGTTGAAAGTAACATAAAAAAATCCCTATTTCGAGCATCGGCTTGTTAGCTAAACAAGCGGCTTATTTCGTTTAACATCTCTACATTTAGCCCCTCTTAATTAATAAAATTTGTGAAAGATCGAATGTGTGTATATTGTTTGTTCATGATACACATGCATGCAACATTCCAACAAGAACACAGAGTACATAAAACAGTTGTTCTACTTTCTGAGGGTTTACCATTTAAAAAGAAAGNAAAAATGCTCCACAAGACATCTTAATCTTAATGTATAGGTCCTTCTCAGTTATTGTTCACACTGATAATTTATCCTCTGTAGTCTGTATAATTAATCTTCCCTCCAAAGGCACCCAACAAGAGATGCATCTATCTTTTACAATATTCCAAAAGTCCTGGCAAAAAAACACAACACAAACCACAAACTAAAAAGAAATTACTCCGACACAAAGGAATGAAAGGCTCACACATTAAAAATCTTACAGCCAAGAACCAAACACATAAGTCACCCATATCCTCACACGACATAATGCCTTAACAGAAAATGAATTAGGCAATGCACAATACAACAATGAAAACACCGACAAAACATGACGAGTATAGCTTCATTTTAGGGTAGTTTCAAAGCAAGACTTATACATAGAGTTTGAAGGCACACGGCTAGCTTTTAAATTCCCAATCATTCCATCCGGTTTGTAAAAACAAACCCAACCTTTTGCTAAAACTAGAGAGATGTGGTCCAATTTCTTATAACATCCCCCCAAATATTTTGTAGGTTTATGATTGTGAGCTGTGATCTTTTAAGAGGTAGATTTTTTGTTGTGATCTGGCGAATTCGGGCGCATATTACAGTCGAGCTTATGAGTCTATCTTGCAGTTATCCTAAATATTGACTGTTCGTTCAATCGCCACAGTACACATAAATAACAATGTCTCCAGCTTAACAGGACCTTCTCTATTACTCAACATTACTACGAGCTTTATAGTTGATTCCCTACTTCTTTTGATTTCTGCTACAATAAATCACTTCTTCTAAAGGCATAAAAGTCTTTGCAAATAGCAAACTCTCCATATGAAAGAGCACTAGAAGTTCCTTAGACATAAACTTATCAGTTATCAATCAAATAACACAAATCACAAAGCTTCCGAATTTTTTTGCCATCCATTTAATCATTCAACATTCTATAACCACTAAACTGCACGACAAAAATCCGCACATCAGCTTATGATGGCTTAATTCTATGACCATTAACCACACGATAGAAATTCGGATTTGAGCTGTGATTAACAAGATTTCACCAAAAAAACTCCATTCCAAAGCAAACAATCAGCTCATAACTAGATTCAATTATGGATCAAACAGTATACATAAACCAATTACCTATTGCATTTGCGCGAAACCCCTTCAATCCGACCGCTTGTACGAAGCATGCTTCCTGGCGGCCCTCGCATTCTCGTACTCGAACTTCAGCACGTTGGGCAAATGCGATGTATCCTTCACGTAGAAGAATCTCCCAAACGCGCTCTCCTCAATTGCCTGAAAATGGCACCACAGCAAATTATTCACCACCCAGAACCACCCGCCGCCCAGCGCCGCCCCCAGGGCCGCCCCGGCAAACACCTGCGCCACCGTGTGGTAACCCAGGTAAACCCTGGAGTACATCGTCAGCAGGGCCAGCGGCCACACCAGCAGCCGCACGATCCAGATCTGGTGGCGGAACAGGGCCCCGATCCTGTGGCGGGTCAGGAGCGTGAGGTACACGGCGAAGAAGAACATGTACTGCGAGTGGCTGGAGGGCCAGCCGTGGGAATCGCACATCTCGAGGAGGGCGCACGTCTCGGGCCGGGCCTGCTGGACGGACGTCTTAATGACCTCGTTGACGAACTGGGAGATGAGGAGGCCGACGGCGAAGAACATGCCCTGGAGCTCACGGCGGAAGATGAAGTGGGAGAAGAAGCCGCCGAGGGTGATGAAGACCGGGACGAGCGAGATCCAGGCGAGGAGGAGGCCCAGCCGGTCGCCCTTCTGGTACCGGACGTGGGTTAGGGTTATGGCTTTGAGAGCCGGGATCGGGCTTTCCATGCGGCTTGATTGGGGATTTTCTGGGTTAGATGGATAAAATGTGGGAATCGAGGATTGCGTGAATTTGATTGATGGTGGAGAGTACGAAGTAGCTGGGCTTTTCTTGTTACTCTGTGACTCTGTGTGTTTACAGGGGACAATAGAGATGAAGACACGAAGTGAATGGGGCGAGTTGTAAACGATGAGTTCAAGCTAGAGCCATTTCCACAAGTTGAACCAAACTTACTTAGAAACTTGACTTGTTAATTAAACGATTAAGTAATTGAGCTCGAGCTTTGGACAAATCGTTACTTAATGAAATGAAATATAAAAATGATATAAAAAATTGTATGATCGAGCCTTAATGAGTCGAGAACGAGTTGTTGACCAAACAAGTTTTTAATTAGTTTGAGATATTCATTTGCGAACTCTGGTGTGTAAACAATCTCGACCCGATCTGATGTCATTCGATTTGTCTTTGAACCGGTGAAATGACCTGCAAAATAGCGATGGGGTTCTTCTCATTGTTCGTGTGCCTGTACTACCCAATTATGTTATCCGCGTGTCATTCTTATTCTAATTATATTCATATTTATCATTATCTGATGTGTTTACATTAGTCTAACTCATTAGGTAATCTTTATAGGCATTATCGAGCTAATAGTTAGGTTTTTTCTATTTATTCGTTCTGGTCTTTACTGAACAAATCTGTTGTTTAGGTCGTCCACCGATCTCTTCACTTGCAGTTTAAGTTTCATTCATACTATCATAGAATCCTAGCTCGATCTGTCATTGAACCAGTTTGCCTCTGAGGTCCTGATTGACTTGATACTCTCACGACCTTGAGTTTTCATGTTGACCGACCTCTAATCGAATAGTTGGTCCACTCGAACCGCCCGAGTTACTCTCAGGTCGCCTGAGTTCTAATGTTGGTATAGCATACCATATATTTGGTCCTAATTGAGTTAAGGTGACTCAGCCTAGGAGTTATCTTCAATTATTTTGCTAAAGTGCCCCCATCAATCGAATTGTTTTCTCCTTACTTTGGTCACGACGAACGAACCCGACCTAAAAGTAGACTTTTGATTTCAAATCCAAATCACTCGACACTTTTTCAAATCCCTTTCAAAGTGACGTCATCTCGATTTTTGTCCCGTCCTAAACTACACGACCATTAATATTTCCTCGACCTCACCCGTCCATTTTTCATTCTATCAGACGGTTCATGTCGCTTTACCTCCTCACCTTCTCATTTTAGTCTCCCCCGTTTATATTGACATGAGTCGAACAGTCCTGCTCGATCACTTCAGCTGGTTAATTTTTAATATCATCTATCTATTTTGACCTAAATCAGACGGTCCTGCTTGTTGTAAATATTTTTCCGAAGTAGAATCAAAAGATTCGAACACCGGGTCGTGTCTCTCGAGGAAGGTCAGTCGGATTACTTTGCACGTTATTCAAACACAAATAAAAGAAATAAAATTCCCTAAACATTCTAATTCAGATGATTTGGTTTGATTATTAACTACGAAGAACAACTTCAAATAAAGCAAATAGGAATAGCACGCAACGACGAAGAACAAGTAGGATTTAAGAAGCTAGGGAGTCGGGGATATCCGTTTTGGTTCGAGTTGTGACTATTGGGCAAGTGATCGTTCGGTTAAGTGATTTGAATAACCTGGTCATTCAAGTACTCATTTTTAATAACTCTTCGTAACAAGAGAACAAACTTAAACGGCAAAATTAACAAGTCATTTAACACCTAGGCAATACTGTTACGAACAAGCCTAACGAGCTTATTTCGACCGACTCCTCCCCTTTCGGTTCTAAGAGTCGATTAAATTAGACTAGAGGGTTTTTAACTGACTAATCAATAAGAATAACCATCATTATGCGAGAATACATTGAATTCAATCGTAAATTGGAAATTGAAGTGTCACCCTTCAATAATTCTCAATATTCAAGCCTAATATTTGAAAAACTCTTTTAAAGAATAACTCGTACAAATAGAACGATCAATAAATCCCAACAATCACTAACGAATTCAAAACATTAATCCCCTATTCCCTAGCATATGAATTTAGCTACTCATGATTGATTCAACACAAACAATCTCACAAATCAAGACAAACATATTCATGGATTAGAAGAATAGAAAATCTTACGATTAAACCGAAATTGAGAGTTGAATCTGATAAACAAGATTAATCCAAAAGCAGTAGCAAAATCCGAGTGCAGATCCATGTTCAACGATGAAAAATATGAAGAGAACGATGAAAGCAAGTGAAAAGAACGAAGGGTAGGGTTTCTGTGATTTTTCCCGTCAAGAAAAGATGTCTGTCGAAGATCCCGATCTAACATATATATAGTCATAAGGTTGCCGCGTCATGAGGGGTCATGCGCGCCCCGTGAGAGAGGTACCACGCCGTGATGGGAGTTGCTGCCGCGCCGTGGCTGGACCTCGCGACGTGATGGCTGGACTGGCTGGGAGGCTCTGTCCGCCCGTGGTAGATGGCGCGGTGTGGAGAAATGAAGTCTGCCGCTCGCGGCACGGAGGGATCGTGCATCGCGGCGCGGGGTCCTCGCGGCGTGGCAGGTGGATCGGCTGGGAGCCTCTGTCCGCCCGTGATGTGCATCGCGGCGCGGCGGCTGGCGCGGCAGCCTGGGCCTGGGGATGCTCGGGCCTAGTTGTATCACCTTGCATTTTGTGTTCGTTCGAGCTCGTTTGGAACCCGAATTCGATTCCGTTTTC